GGCGATAAAAACTTCGTAGTATGGTAAGAGTTTAAACAAGATAGTATAGTAAGGCATAGAAAATGTCAAAAAACGTCACAGTATAGTATGGCATAAAAATGTCAAAAAACGTCATAGTATAGTATGGCATAAAAGGTGATAAAAACTTCGTAGTATGGTAAGAGTTTAAACAACATAGTATAGTGAGGCATAAAAATGTCAAAAAACGTCATAGTATAGTATGGCATAAAAATGTCAAAAAAACGTCATGGTATATTATGGCATAAATGGCGATAAAAACTTCATAGTATGGTAAGGGTTTAAACGACATAGTATAGTAAGGCATAAAAATGTCAAAAAACGTCATAGTATAGTATGGCATAAAAATGTCAAAAAAACGTCATGGTATATTATGGCATAAAAGGCGATAAAAACTTCGTAGTATGGTAAGAGTTTAAACAACATAGTATAGTAAGGCATAAAAATGTCAAAAAACGTCATAGTATAGTATGGCATAAAAATGTCAAAAAAACGTCATGGTATATTATGGCATAAAAGGCGATAAAAACTTCGTAGTATGGTAAGAGTTTAAACAACATAGTATAGTAAGGCATAAAAATGTCAAAAAACGTCATAGTATAGTATGGCATAAAAATGTCAAAAAAACATCATGGTATATTATGGCATAAAAGGCGATAAAAACTTCGTAGTATGGTAAGAGTTTAAACAACATAGTATAGTAAGGCATAAAAATGTCAAAAAACGTCACAGTATAGTATGGCATAAAAATGTCAAAAAACGTCATAGTATAGTATGGCATAAAAGGTGATAAAAACTTCGTAGTATGGTAAGAGTTTAAACAACATAGTATAGTGAGGCATAAAAATGTCAAAAAACGTCATAGTATAGTATGGCATAAAAATGTCAAAAAAACGTCATAGTATAGTATGGCATAAAAATGTCAAAAAACGTCATAGTATAGTATGGCATAAAAATGTCAAAAAACGTCATAGTATAGTATGGCATAAAACATCAAATAAACATCAAAAAAACATCATGGTATATTAAGGCATAAAAGGCGATAAAAATGTCATAGTATGGTAAGGAATAAAACAACATAATATAGAAAGGCATAAAAATGTCAAAAAACGTCATAGTATAGTATGGCATAAAAATGTCAAAAAAATATCATGGTATATTATGGCATAAATGGCGATAAAAACTTCATAGTATGGTAAGGGTTTAAACGACATAGTATAGTAAGGCATAAAAATGTCAAAAAACGTCATAGTATAGTATGGCATAAAAATGTCAAAAAACGTCATAGTATAGTATGGCATAAAAATGTCAAAAAACGTCATAGTATAGTATGGCATAAAACATCAAAAAAACATCATGGTATATTATGGCATAAAAGGCGATAAAAAACTTCATAGTATGGTAAGGGTTTAAACGACATAGTATAGTATGGCATAAAAATGTCAAAAAATGTCATAGTATTAGTATAGTATGGCATAAAAATGTCAAAAAAACGTCAGAGTATGGTATAAAAATGTCAAAAAATGTCATTATAGTATGGCATAAAAATGTCAAAAAAAACATCATGGTATATTATGGCATAAAAGGCGATAAAAAACTTCATAGTATGGTAAGGGTTTAAACGACATAGTATAGTATGGCATAAAAATGTCAAAAAAACGTCAGAGTATGGTATAAAAATGTCAAAAAATGTCATTATAGTATGGCATAAAAATGTCAAAAAAAACATCATGGTATATTATGGCATAAAAGGCGATAAAAACTTCACAGTATGGTAAGGGTTTAAACGACATAGTATAGTAAGGCATAAAAATGTCAAAAAACGTCATAGTATAGTATGGCATAAAAATGTCAAAAAAAACATCATGGTATATTATGGCATAAAAGGCGATAAAAACTTCACAGTATGGTAAGGGTTTAAACGACATAGTATAGTAAGGCATAAAAATGTCAAAAAACGTCATAGTATAGTATGGCATAAAAATGTCAAAAAAAACATCATGGTATATTATGGCATAAAAGGCGATAAAAACTTCACAGTATGGTAAGGGTTTAAACGACATAGTATAGTAAGGCATAAAAATGTCAAAAAACGTCATAGTATAGTATGGCATAAAAATGTCAAAAAAACGTCATCGTATATCAAGGCATAAAAGGCGATAAAAATGTCATAGTATGGTAAGGAATAAAACGACATAGTATAGTAAGGCTTAAAAATGTCAAAAAAAACGTCATATAGTATAGTGTGCCATAAAACGTCAAAAAAACATAAAAAGTCGGTGCATAGTAATGTCATAGTATAGTAAGGCATAAAAACTTCACAGTACAGTAAGTCATAACAGGTCATATTATAGTAAGGCATAAAAATGTCATATTTGTATATAAGGCATAAAAAGTCCATGGTTCGAACCCAGAACCTTCTCTGTGAGGTGACAGTTATAACCACTAATCCAGCGTGCTGCCACATAAACAAATCGCCGTATATTAAGGCAGTAAGGCAAGTTTAAAACCTCATCGTATAGTAAGGCATAACATATCATAGTATAGTTAAGCAATATCACACGAGAGGAGGGAGTGGTGTTGCAGTGAATATCAGCACGGCGACAATCACAGCCGTGCTGACCTCCAGTGTGATTTTGCTTTTATACAACGGTTCTACGAGCGCCATATTAAATAAGCAACAAAAGTTTATGATTTATTCGTATTTGCTAAGCAACAAAAACATGTTCCTGACGCGCATACTAGCTTGCTACGATATAGCCGTTTCTCAATCTGCGCTCTTCTCTGTACTTGTGTGTACATGTTACCTCAGGTGTGCGCTGAAGCATCCTGGCTTCTTTCCCTCCCGTCATCCTCTTCTGACGAACATACATAATTTAATTCAATCATTACTCCTGGAAATCTATTAATCTTTGCAAAGTTTGTGACAATGTCAAATAGGTAACGACCGTCAATGTAACGCTAATTAACGGCTAAAAGAACACCTGTGAGGCGGAGTGATACATGCCTTTTGTCGAATCAATTTACTTGTTCGGAACTAACTGTTTTGTAATAATGCATTAAACGTCATAGATAGTAAGGCATAAAAACGCCATAGTATAGTAAAGCATAAAAAAATCAATCATTGTATTCATGTTGACGATGGGATTTTTCAACAGTAATTAAACTCATACTTTGATATATCCACCATCCTATGTTTCCTCCTGCTAGCAACCTGACCTCTAGCCTACTAGCCAGGGTTAGCTTGCTAGTTAACGCTAACTAACATGGTTAAATAACATCAGTTGACATTTTTCTGCTGACGTTAGGTACCACTGTGATATTCTCATATGACGTGACCCTTAAAATAGCCCCTGCTCTTTCAGTCAATCAAATGCTGGCATGCCTAAATCAGTTGTCTTGGAGGGCCCATTGGAATGATGTAATATGACTTAACTCCAAACATAGTGCGAACGAGTTCACCAAATATTGGTAGGGACATGTCTCCGCCGTTCATATGCAAACCTACGCCCTTGTAACATACACACGTTTAGAGCGGAACTGCATTTAATATTTAGATGAAATATGGTAAAATACAACCTTTATACATAATAGGCAATTTACATACAGAGGAAGATGCTTCTGAATAGCTTTGGTTGTAGTCAGAAAATGTTGGGATGGTTTTAATTGAATACATGACTTTTTCAGTTTAATTTACAATCATTTAGCAGGGATTACAGTTCTAGCCCTAGCTATTAAAAGCTAGTCCCACATTGCTCAGATTTCAAGACAAAAGAACATTAGCAATTAAAAAGATTTACATGCATTATAAAAATAAATATATACATCTTTCAATATCTACATACAGTATAAACACAGCACTATTGTTTTTCTGGATTAATGTCTGATTTTTCAGTGTCTTCACTACATTGTGACTTGTCTTTGTTGGATTCATCCACCACTATCTCCAAAGCAGCACTTCCTTCAATCCTCTTCACAGTCTCTCCTTTGGCAGCAAGGATTTCCTCAATGTTCCTAAGACAAAAACAACATAGAACATGAGCCATTCAGACTTGTAATGTATGCAGTTGTTGGTATATCAAAATTTAAATTTCTTGAGCTCTTCTGACAGCCTTAAATGATCACAGAGGTGTTGTTTGTATACTTGTTCTCCCTGCAATGCTGTTGAGTTTATGATTGTATTCAGTTATTCTATGCTTTTATAAATTCTCTTATATATTGCTGTATTTTATTTGATTTTAATCATCAGTTAAATAATCCCATGATTGAATCTCTTTGTAAAGCACTTCAGTCAACGTTTGTTGTTTTTAAATGTGCTCAATAAATAATAAATAAACTGACGACTTGTTTATCTCGTGCCATTTACCAAAATACTCCTACATTAATGGACTAATGTATAAATGGTTACGGTTTGGATGTTATTATAAATCAATGACATATTCTGTTTTACGATGAGAAGTTCAAAGCACCACCAACCTCTTCCCTTCCAGATCAGAGAACCAGCTGAGGTTATCAGCGATGATGTGGTGATTCTTACATCCCGGACATGTCACTATCACTACACCTTTGTGGTAAGCCTGCTTGGATATCTTCTGTGTGGATCTAGTAGAGCAAACCTGTAAACATGATACAGCCTGTATGTCAGATTTACATGGGTGTGACCACATAAAATACATCAAGACAACCAAAGCTGTTTTAGAATTTCTGGTTCTGCTACCTTGCATGTGTAAACAAGATGGTAATGTGTTGTATGGATCTTCCCAACAGCGTCACTTCTGATACTCGGTGAAGTTGAGACTCCTCTACAGCTGATCAGGTCAGCTTCGCCTCTGTCAGTAGGTAACAAGTAACAAAGTCTATACTGGTCATTCCGGGAGAGGAGCCCCGTCCTGGCTGTGGTCGTCGTTGGTCGGTGAAACCCGGCGGTGCACAGTCTGGACAGAGCTGAAGGGCTGCGATAACACCGAAACAACTGTCTGACAGACAACATCGTCTTCGAAGGGTGTGATGAGCGCAAAAGAGCAAAACACTAGTGTAAAGCCAACATGACAGCTGCCCTGTTTCTGAGTTATAGACGAGTTACACACGATTTAATCAACGAGGGTGTTGTCGCGATTTGATGACATCATCAAAGGGTATTTTCAAAACAAACTTTATTTGCAAATTGTTCCTATAACAAAAAGTACTTACTGACCTGACACTTCAGGAATAATTGCACTTTGTTTGCTGGAGCCTCAAACGAATATCTTTCTAAACAGGAATATAAAAGAAAAAATCATTATATGAATATAAGATAGATTTGTAATAGATATAATCAGCTTAGAAGCTTTGATTAAGTTTTTATTCCGTGATGTGTTTGACAGAATACTGTCTTTCTCCACCCTGAGCACTTACAACCTTAAATGGTGCTTACCAATTAATGCATCAGTAATAACAATCTTGTGTCATTCAGCATGATGAGTACTTTTACATTTAATACTTTAAGTAGTTTTTGCTGATAATATTCATGAGCATTTACTTTAGTAAAATTTGAATGCAGGACTAGTAGGACTTGTAGTATGGTTACTCTCCACCACTGTCGCTGGTCAGAGTGGGTGGAAGCAATCTTTCAGAAGAATTATGACCTTGTTTTTTTTAAATTTCAGCATTAAAGATTGTGAAAGTTTAAACACAAACACAAAACACAAAAACAAAATACAATTTTTCTCCCAGTCTCAAAATACCTCTGGGATGGCCAGTGTGGCACAAGTCAGAACCAGCATCCTATATTAGGTTGCTATTAATATTGTAAGAGTTGTGCACAGACAGTTATCATCACCTCATTATTTGCAAAAGCTTTAGAGGGAATAGGAGACGTAAGGACATATTATGCATTTATAACAAAACAATTTTCACCATTGTTTCAACTGGCTGAGGCCAAGGCTGCTCCAGCAGTGTAAAGCTGAGCTGAATGACAATAAGCACAAATGACCAATTTAGTGAGCTGGTGGTGACTGAAGGGTGTGTTCATAAATCCTGCTAGGAAATGTGGGGGAAGCTTGTTTAGAGCAAACTGCAGTCAGTCTGAAACTGGGAGGGTTCCCAGTGCTCACACACTGCATCTGTGCTTTGTGCACATGCGTTTTTGTGTACTGTATTCCTCTCTTATAGTCTTAAATTAATTGTTACAACCTAATCAAAAGAGCTGTTTCACATATACAGTATCACTTATAATAAACCAGGACAGAAAAATGAGATATATGACAAGAGGTGGGGTTGTCTACCTTATGAGACAATCAAGTGCTACTGGTTTAATATTACACTATATGCACAATTAATTTTTACAGGAAGCATTCATTACTTATTTATAAGACCTCACTTTAAGCCAACATTTATTATTCAATAGGAACACTCCTCTCTGAAAGTTTGATTATAGGCTTTGTGAAATGCATCTGTTCGTAGGTGAGTGTTGAAATGAAGCTGAGCACATCTGCCACAATACTTTTGGTCAAGAGGATGAGAACTGAGAACTGCTTCATGTATTGCTGGAAGTCAAATTTTGGCTATATTACTTCATTTTTGTAACTTTGTATGGCTTTTTGCTGACACAATAACTTTGTATTGGCCTCTCAAACAGTGAAATCACTTAGCTCCAGAGTGCTAAAAACTTTTTTTTAAAAATTGTGTCATCTTTCTTAAAAACTTAAAAATGTAACTACATGACCAAATTGCCACCTTGGAATCAAAACAAAGCCACTCAAACATAATAATTTCTTGAAAATAAACTGCACTGTGCAAAACCATTATGTATTACAGTAAAGTGAGGATGCTTTCAAAAATAATGCCATGAATTGTTTTTATTTATTTATTAACTTCATACAAAGCATACAAAGTACAATAAACAGAAAAAAATGATTCACTGCTTTTAAAGCAGCATCAATTCTCCTAGGTACATTTGCTCAGTTTTCAAGGTACTTGACAGTTAGGTGTCTCAGAAAATTTGCCATAGTTCAATGTTATCTGCCTCTTCGTGTAATCCAAGATGGACTCAATGATGTTCAGATCTCTGTGGGGACCGGTTGCAGGACACCTTGTTCTTCTTGTCATTGAATATTTCTTAATAACTCTGGCTCTATTATTGGGATTGGGATTGTTGTCACGCTGCAGATGTCTCCTGGACAAGAATCTAAACATTCAAGTGCCTAAACATTTTGCATAGTACTGTATACAAATGTTTTATAATTTACTGTACAACAACTTATAGAAGTGGAATATAACCATTCATCAGGTGCAACATTATAATCAGTACTACAAAAACAACCTCCACATCACCTAAAAGAAATGAAGAGAAAAACAATGAAAACAAAGATCTAATGTTGCTTATAAACATAATATAGCAATTACACAATATTTTACTTCATTAATAAAGATTTTTTTGTATGACAGTTTCTCATACTGCCGCTGTGCTTTTATTTTGAAAACGGCTTTGTCTTAGGACTTCCCCCTGTCTCGTGCAGCAGCAGCGGTTTGTGCTAGCTGACGGACCCGCACGGTTTGTGCCTTCGTGTGGGTTTCACCTCAGTCACTGTCGTACGGGGCCCCGGCCCGGTGTCCGACTGGCCACAGCTGCCGAGAAACGTTAGAGAAATGTGTCACCCGTGTGCGGAGGAGGCGAGAGACACCAGCTTTAATAAAACAGGTGGGCATTTTTCTTAAAATGTGTAACTAGCTGGTTAGCTGTGGTTCAGTGTGATTTCACTGCCGCAGCGTGCTAACTGGGCATCGGTATGAGACATCGTTTCCCGTTGCCGCTCGTCAGCCTGTTGTGGCGAAGACCAGTTAGTAAAAGGTCGCAGTCTTGGTTGGATTACATGTTATTATACAGTCAGCATTACAGTCAGACTCTTAATCCCAGATTAATTTTAGCTAATAATATATTCTCGATCATACATCAGAAACATTTCATCCACAGTTGAAGGCCAGTAAGGTATTCTGGTATTATGGAAAAACAATATTACTGATTAAACACTGAAGCTGTAAACAGTATATTAATTATGGAAATACGCGTCAGACTGTAGGACTCTAAAAACATTAAAGCTAAGTTGATTAACTGCAGTGTTTCCATTGCGAAGAAAATTATGTCTGTGGTTATATTGTAGAGCTGGAATGATTAGTTGATTAATTGATTAGTCCATCAACAGAAAATGAATCGACAACTATTTTGATACTCAAGTAATTCTTTTAGTCATTTTTCGAGCTAAAATGTCAAAGATTTGCTGTGTCTAGTTACTCAAATATGAAGAGTTTATGCTGTATCTGTATCACACATGGTAGTAAACTGATAATATATGGGTTTGGAACTGTTGATCAGACATTTAAAGATGTCACCCTGAGTTGTGGGAAATTATAATAGGCAATTTTCACTGTCATTTCATTATCAAAACGATTAATCTAAAAAGTATGAATTGATAATGAGAACAATCATTAGTGGCAGCCCTAGTATATTGTTGAGTTCATAGTGAATTTGTGTTTTTATCATTACACAAATATTACAGTGATACAATAGGCTATAGTGTTACGGTAATATCCATGTAATAGCATATATGTTTGGTGTTGTATTTGTATTTTTTCTGTGTAAGATCTTTTATAGCATCATTGTAGTCTTTTGTGGTCAGGGTGATATATGACTGTGCAATATTGGCCATATAACTAGTCACATTAAGGTTAACCACATTAGTGAAATTATATAATCAAAACAGACTTTATAAAGTCACTTTAAATGGCCCTTGTTTCAGATGTGTAATGTGAACATGTATGAGTGTGACTTCTCCAGTGCTTTCTTCAGAAAAAAAAGTAGGTTTTTGTGAGCCAGAACCAGTTTGATTTGGTCAGGACTGCGCTGCAGTCTCTTAATGTCACAAGTCTGCCATTGGCAGGGTTGGTCAGATGGGCTGAGATCTGAAGCTGTGATAACTCTGTTTCCTACAGATGGCCCATGCCAGAAGGATTTTGTTTTCAAGGGACAGGGGAAATCTCATGTTTTGGAAGGATCTGTGGATGTTTTTGATCCCCTTATCGCCTGCTAAAAACATGATCCTGATTCCTTTATACCTTTAGTACAGCTATTAACAGCATCACCTCAAAAAATATACAGTGATATGTTGCTGGCTTGAGCTTAACCCAGCAACAGGCAGATTAATAAAAATCAGAATGATATAATAATTTCACCTCTCAAATATATTTGTTTGTGGATAGGTTATATGTGCAGAAGAGACCAAAATCTTTTCTTGTTATCAAGGCTGATGCTGACCTTATTTAACAGGTCAGGTAACGGCCAGATGTGACCACTTCACATTAGTAGTTATAGTTATAGTTTTTTTTTGTCAAACTCATAATAAGATTCTGCATTTCAGTTATGTAGGATTTTTGGTGGAATAACCCTTCTACAGGATGACAACCAGCAGTTCTGGGGTGTAATGTGGACCAGGATCAGTTCAAACAGGTTTTCAGAGCTGTGTTTTTTGTTTTTTGAAATGACCAGCAGACTCGATGGATGCAGCAGCATGGATGATAGAGCACAGAGAGAGGCTAACTGCAGGGCAAAACAATGCCCTGAGCCCTCTGCATATACAGAAGATCAACAACTTCTCTAACAACAAGCACAGGTGTGATTAAAAAAAAAAAAAAAAATCTACTATATATTTATAAATGCTTACACCCAAATTCTATAATACTAAACTATAGAATACATGGTATGACTATCACTACCCCCCCCCCTCGATCCCAGCTGGTATAGTCCAATACAACTTACTGAAAGTGGAAGTTGTGTGGCGCAATTTCATGTGCACATTTCATGAAAACACCACAAGTTGCTGGCCAGAAGTGGACTAATAATAAAACTAGTCGGCATGAACTCAAGTAAATGAATTCATAAATGTAAACTATATGATCAGGTAGGTCAGATATCCGTAATATTGTGTAAAGCAACAATTTCTCACATTAAACAGAATAGTTGTGGATTGATTCTCTATCAATCAACTAATTGTGTGAGTTTTGGTGTGCACTCATCACTGACAGACTTTCAGTATGAGATAGTCAGAGAGTCTTGTGATCCTGTTTTAAACTTGTCTGAGACTTGGTTAATTTTTTCCCTACATCTAGTCCAGCACACGTTAAAAAACAACTATAGATCGCATGCTGTTGACAAGACAGATATGGAAATAATGGTTTCAACAACTCAGAACTAGTGAAAGAATCCCAAAAACTATCATCCCTTGAAGGTTACTCATCCATGCTGAATCATAGTGAACAATAAGGATGGAGAATCACTCAGTGGCTGTGTAATGCTCTCTGTTGCTAGGACTTGGAAGGTCCTTTGGGTGTAATCAAGTACTTACATGGAAATTAAGTTGTTGCAGGGAGAAAATTGACGGACGTATCAAAGAAAAACAACACAAATCAGTCTAATGGAATGTAATAAAAGTTTAAGCCTTCTATAAATGATGGCAATGCTGACATTCTTTCCATCCATACATTAAGGGAACCCATAAACATACCACTCCTCAAATAAAAGGGCCTCAATCAGCTGTCAGATTCAGAACCTTGACCTTCCTGTGTGTCTTAAAGTTACCCTGTGGTTGAATAATGTTTTTTGAGATTATTTAATCAGTTTGTTGATGTAGGCTGTCAATTTGAAATAATTTAGTTAAAAAGGTCAACTTCAGGCAAATTTTACAATCTTTTCAGGAGATATAGGTAGAGAATATGCCATTGACATTCAAGTCAGATGGTTTTTTCCCCTCTATTTTTCTGTTTGAATTCAGTTGAGACACTAGTGTCCTTGAGGAAAATGGTGCTTGGCTCTGTAAAGTATTGGCTCTCACAGCATCCAGGTTCACCTGTACCTCTCTCAGCCCATGTATCAGAGCCTCATTGACAAAAATCGCCTACACAAAAGCAGCTCTGTTCCAGGAACAAATTCAGGAGAAATGTACTGGGCTAAATCTACAAACAGGAAACCAAGAGAAGAGGCGCTATGTAGTCCAGTCTTTACCTTTTTCTTTTTAAATGAAGTTTTAATTTGAGGATTAGAACACCATATTCCTCTGTTGTGTTTGTGGTGGTGAGAATGATCAGATTGCTTACAGTTCATCAGAAGAAAAGTCCTTAGTTGGAATTGTGGGTGGTGGTTCAGGAAGACGTGCAGTGTGATTCATAAACAAGATAAAGAGCTTGCAGACTTGTGTTTATTTTCCAGGATAATGTGAAAAAAAACTTGTTCTTTTGGACCAAAGATATCAGTGACTGGGTATGTTTATTATGTAACACTGAGTTTACAGGATCTTTGTTTGTTAATATTCTGGATGGCCAGAGTTCTCTTCAAAACTTACAGCTTTTATTTTAGTCTTTATAGTTACAGTTTACTTGACCTTTTCAGTGCAGTCATGTGACAGGCCACTAGCTTTAGTTTGAATTAGGAAACACTTCTACTGCAGTTTCACACAGTTTCAGTCAAAACATATTTGATGGGCTGTTATGGTTTTGGATTTGTGATTAATCTTAGCCATACAGTGGAATGGAAACTTAATTTGTGTCAAAGATTGTCTCTTGTTTTTAATACCATGTGAATGATCATCATTTAGAGGTTCTTAGCAGCTGTTGGGTCTCTGTGTGCTGTAGTTTGAGTTGAGGTAAAGCAGCGGCCTCACAGAGGAGGCCCACAGCGACTGTACCATTCTGGTTTGAACTGGATAAAACAAAGCTTTTTTTGTGACCACTTGACCAGCTATCCTCTTTCATCCCTTTCCTGTAAGTAAGAGTTGAGTAGACAGTGAAATACAATTTTGGAGATTTTTTTTTAAATCAACTGCTCCCAGCTTTGTGTTCTAAGAGGAAACAAAAGTGATATGATGATTTTTGATTATTCTCCCCAGATATACTGCAAGATGGGGTTTGCCCACATTACACTTTTATTCCATGTTACAGCTTAGTCCAGGGTTAACATTAAGCCTTGAAACAGCTTGGATAAGAAAGAAAATGCTTAGATTGCTGTAGTTTTTGCATTACTCACATTTACTGTGTGAGGAAGTAACCCAGTTGTGGTATGACAGATGTACTCCAGCGTAAATGGACATCTGGGAGAGTGTCTTGGTTTTAGGGTTTATTTGTTTCGTGGTCAGCAGCACGATTGCACTTGGTTTCACTTCCATTTTGCTGAGAGAGTTTTCAAGTCAAAGTTGAAGTTTTTAGTATTCTTTCTCATTCTGATAATTTACTGTGTAAGGAGTAGAATCAACCCATTTGACTGAGCTCCTCTTGAAATTAAAATTAATCATTTGTGTCTTGTTCTGAGATATTTGAGTGGAATTTGTCCTAGCTTCTGAGAATGATATATTAATTTAGAGGAACACTGTTAAACACTGTTAAAACTTCAGCAGGCCGTAAACATGGTCATGCAGAAAAATTGAAGCACATCAGATGGAGAAAACGGGACTTGTGTGAACTGTGCTGTGTCAGAGCCTGTGGTCCTTGTGCTTCCACTTGCTCTGCAGTCTCTGAACCGCTGTGTGCTGTCGGGATATGCAGGATGCTTGGGTTTATCCCTACTGCACAGCAGACTCTAAAGTACATACAATCACTGCCAGTCCGGTAACTACACATGTGGCTTTTAACATGCTGACTGTGCTATATGTGTGATGATAACTGAATTGGACTCATTGGAGTCTCTAACAGAAGAGAACTGAGAAGCACAAACTGACCTTAAAAACTGAGACATGGGGGAAACATTCAGTATGTAGTGGCTGAGCACGCCATTCAGACACAAAAGTAATGAAACATCAATATCAAAAACACAGTTGTCAAAGAAATAATAAGAAAAATCTAACTAGAAAACACTCCCCCTCCCATATGACGTAGGAGCAACAGTGCAGTCCAATTGGCAATCAACACCATTTAAACAGGTCTGATGCAACTGGGCCTCTTTTTGTTGGCCAGTCAGGCAACTCCAGAAACAACCCCCAGGAATAACATTTTGCTGTGCTATGATTTTAACCACAAGCACATACAGGTTTCCAAAACTGTCCATCATGTTGTAAAATTGACGTGTTACCAACTAATTCCTCATTTTCTGTTTTCTCTGTGTTTTGTTTTTTTTAGATAAACCATCATGATTCCCATCACAGAGCTCCGGTACTTTGCTGACACCCAGCCAGCGTACCGTATCCTGAAGCCATGGTGGGACGTATTCACCGACTACATCTCAATCGTCATGCTGATGATCGCAGTGTTCGGTGGTACACTGCAGGTCACGCAGGACAAGATGATCTGCCTGCCTTGCAAGTGGGTGGTCAACAGGTCATGCGAGACCATGCCCGTCCCAAACATGACCACCCCCTATGTACTGGAACCCAAAGGCATTCAGTATGACCTCGACCGTCATCAGTATAATTATGTTGATGCAGTCTGCTACGAGAACGAACTACACTGGTTTGCCAAATATTTCCCCTATCTGGTGCTACTCCACACCCTCATCTTCTTGGCCTGTAGCAACTTCTGGTTCAAGTTTCCCCGCACAAGCTCAAAACTGGAGCACTTTGTCTCCATCCTCCTCAAGTGCTTTGACTCCCCGTGGACAACGAGGGCTTTGTCTGAGACCGTGGTGGAGGAGAGCGATCCCAAACCTCTCGGCAAAATGAATGGTTCGATGGACAAGAAGGCTTCGTGTGTGAGCGAGGATGTGGAAGCTAGCGTGCCCATGCTTCAAAGAACAAAGTCCAGAATTGAACAAGGAATTGTAGATCGCTCTGAAACTGGGGTTTTAGATAAAAAAGAAGGGGAGCAGGCTAAGGCTCTATTTGAGAAGGTGAAGAAGTTCAGGATACATGTAGAGGAGGGTGATATAGTCTACCGTCTTTACATACGTCAGACTATCATCAAAGTAATCAAGTTTATACTGATAATTTGCTACACAGCCTACTATGTACACTACATCAGATTCAGTGTAGTGTGTGCAGTAAACCTTAAGAAGCTAACAGGGTATAGCACGTTCTCTTGTGCTCACCCGTTAGCAACACTTTTCAAGATTTTGGCCTGTTTCTACATCAGCTTGGTTGTAGTTTATGGCCTTATCTGCATGTACACTCTGTGTTGGATGCTCAGTCGCTCCCTCAAAAGATACTCCTTTGAGTCAATCCGGGAGGAGAGCAGCTATAGTGACATCCCTGACGTGAAGAACGACTTTGCCTTCATGCTACACATGATAGATCAGTATGACCCTCTCTACTCCAAGCGCTTTGCTGTTTTTCTGTCAGAGGTGAGCGAGAACAAGCTGAGGCAGCTGAACCTGAACAATGAGTGGACGTTGGAGAAGCTGAGGCAGCGCATCACCAAGAACTCCCAGGAGAAGCTGGAGCTGCATTTGTTCATGCTCAGTGGGATCCCAGACACAGTGTTTGATCTGATAGAGCTCGAAGTGCTCAAGCTGGAGCTTATCCCTGATGTAACTATCCCACCAATCATTGCCCAGCTTTCCAACCTGAGAGAGATGTGGCTCTATCACACACCAGCTAAAATTGAGGCTCCAGCTCTGGCTTTCCTGAGGGAAAACCTGAAGTCTCTCCACATCAAGTTCACTGACATCAAGGAGATCCCTCTGTGGATCTACAGTCTGAAGAACCTCAGTGAGCTGCACCTAACTGGGAACCTGAGTGCTGAGAACAATCGATACATCGTCATCGATGGGCTCAGGGAGCTCAAAAGGCTCAAAGTGCTACGTCTCAAGAGCAACCTAACCAAGCTGCCGCAGGTAGTGACAGATGTGGGCGTGCACCTCCAGAAGCTCTCCATCAATAACGAGGGTACCAAGCTCATGGTGCTCAACAGCCTGAAGAAAATGGTCAACCTGACGGAGCTCGAGCTGGTTCGCTGTGATCTTGAACGCATTCCTCACTCCATCTTTAGTTTGCACAACTTGCAGGAGATTGACCTGAAGGACAACAATCTGAAGACAATAGAGGAGATCATCAGCTTCCAGCATCTGCATCGGCTTGTGTGCCTGAAGCTGTGGTACAACCAGATCGCCTACATACCCATTCAGATCGGAACACTTACCAACCTGGAGCGGCTGTATCTGAACAGGAACAAGATTGAGAAAATCCCCAGCCAGCTTTTCTTCTGTCGCAAGCTGCGCTTCTTAGACCTGAGTCACAACAATCTGACCAGCATCCACGCTGATGTAGGCTTCCTCCAGAACCTGCAGTACTTCGCTGTGACAGCAAACAGGGTGAGAAAAAAAAAAAAAAACACAACTTAAAATTTTTTTTCACTGCAATGTTTTCATCTCAGTGAAAGTTTGTCTCCACTCCTCTATCTCTCTATCATGTGTGAATAAGATTAGCTCAAAGGCCAGATAAGGTATTTACAAAGGTCAGCTCTTATAAACGCTGAGATGTTCATGGATAGGTTGGAAATTATGACTTTAAAGATAACCACATGACTGAGGCTTAGACAGTTTTTCAGTTGTGTATTGTCAACAGATACAGGATTGTATACTTCCCAGTTTAAATTTTGTCCTCAGAGGTGTAGATTTATGCTTCATGCAGCAAAAACATTTGAGTTCAGTTGACATAAAAGTTGAAAAGCATGCTATGATCTCGGTCCGTTTATCTGTTTTCCAGTAACTGAAACTCAGGCGTGTCCTGTACATAGCAGTCAAATGAACTGCTAACATGTTAGATAAAAGTCCTGTGTGGAATGAACCACAGGTTTTTACTACAGGTCTTGTTTCTTTTCTTCTTTCAGTCTAATAAATTGAAACCATTAGAGAGTTCAAAGCTTAGTCACATTTATGGTTTAATTAAACAATTTTTCTGTGAGAGCACATTATGATTCATTGAGCATGATTCCCTCTTAGAAGAGAGGATGATAAAAATGTTTCCATCTCCAGTATACATCCTGAGAAGTGAACTATTACTTTTCGAGTAAACCCTCACAAATGCCCTTTATTTAGGCTGCTGTTTATTTCAGTTGAAAAGGTCATTAACTTAAAAATTTTGAGGGCTGTGCCAAATCCTGCCATTATAGGATTTCAAGACCTCCAAGGATGTCCTTTTGGGTGGTTTAGTCCATTTGGTTTGTGGTGAAGTAGTACATCATTTCAGTCTTAACAAAATGCTTTTTATTTGATTTGCAATGTAGGAATTTCATTCAGGGAGATGCAGTTTGTTCACCGTGAGAATTTAGAAAAACAGCATTCTCCTGTTAACGCTGTTTTTCACTCAAAAGCATGCATACAGGATCATGTGTTTTCAGTAAAGCCTACTATTACTGCCATTTTATTGTGTTTGCTTGTGTGGTTTCACACTGGAAACAGGTTCCAGTATTTTGTGTGCAGCCAAAAATAGCTCCATTAAATGAGACAATTCAAGGTGTTTTTAAGGCCTCTTTTGCCTACATCCTCCCTTACACTGTTAGCACATTATCAATTCAAATTAGCTGTGTAATTGTGAATATTGTGTCAATGTAGATGGGATGTGATTTCTGTAGATGTTAATTAATAATAGGTGCTTATAGAGCTTTAGGGTTCGAATTGTTGTTTTTAGGCAAACACAAAGAATTCAAAATAGGACAAGAAGTTCATGGAGCGTAAGCACACAAAGGCTCTGAGGGTACATGGCTGGCTGTTGGTTTTAAATTATTTGTCGGTCTTTGAAGCTATTTTGTTTGTTTTCTTTTTCCAGTATGCTAAATCTGTTATGAAACTTAGTCTGACAGCAACTTTTGAGTGCCCTTTAATCTTATTTTGATTTGTTTCCTGTCCTGGGGCCTGGCTTGTGTTAATCTTTTTTTTTTCTTTTTTAAATTCGGTAACATCTGAAATGAACAGGATCTATAAACGAACCCTTCTCCACTCAATATAGTTGAAACAGCTGCCTCTTTTTCTTAATGCCCTTTGCTCACATCTCTAGTCCCTGCCTCATCTGGCCATGGCATATGGATTAAAAATTGAACAGCTCAGACTTTCTGTTCACTGGTAATTTACACCCCTCTTTGTTCTGCCTCTTGTCCTCTCCACTTCAGATTGAGACTTTGCCCCCAGAGCTCTTCCAGTGTAAGAAGCTGCGTACACTGAATCTGGGAAACAACTGCCTGCAGACGCTGCCATCACGCTTCGGAGAACTCACCGGGTTGACCCAGCTGGAGCTGAGAGGGAACCGTCTGGAGTGTCTCCCGGTGGAGCTCGGCGAGTGTCGGCTGTTGAAGAGGAGTGGTCTGGTGGTGGAGGAGGACCTGTTCAACACGCTGCCATCAGAAGTCAAAGAGCAGCTTTGGAGGGCCGATAAGGAGCAAGCTTGAACCAAACCTCAGCGGTGAGCTGCAAAGGAGAAAAGTTTGATTTGAGAAACAAACGAGAAGTGATTTTGTTTATAAAGAGAGGCAAACCTTGAGAGGTTTGCAGCATTGTTGTCCATGTGGGCTCAGACGAGGGATGAGGCTTCCCTGACAGGAACTATGAAAGCATGGATGTCATACTTCAAGACCTCCAAGGAATCTCTAAGTTCATGATCTTCAAGGAAAAATCTCATAACCAACCTTGGTGATGAAAGGTGGTTTACTAATGTGGCTTTTCTGTAATTTCATTCTAAATATCAAGCTGCAGGGATGCAAGCAGGTGACGTCACATATGCATGCCACAGTAGGACCTGTTTAAAGCAAACCTGTTTATTGGAAAGAGCCAAAAAACAGAAAAAAACTTTGCACGATTCAGCCTTGCCAGTGAGCTAAGCGTGCTGACTATCACTTCTTTGCTGGCCGTGGGATACATGCACAAATTGAAGATGCTCATAGCAATGTTTGCCTGACATTCCTCTGGCCTTGAGAATCAAAATTTTACTTTTACTATTACATTTGCAGTTGCAGTGTAGTGTTACTGAGAATACTGGCAGATGTTAGAAAAAATTAATAGTGCAACTGACAGCCAGCTTGTTGAGGCATGAAGGTTTGGCCCTTTTTGTTTTCTTCAGGCTCTCTGTACACTCAACGTGCTTGGATGCATCTTTTTATGCGAACAAAATGACTCTATGATGAAGATCATCCAAAAGGTGATCTCACAGCTTAGGCCTTAACTTAGACTGATGAAATGACATCAAAGAAAAGCTGTCATATGGGAAACAAATGGGAACAAACTCTACAGTACAATGTCTAAATACCCTGCAGTTGTTAATTTATAATGTCGTCCTGTGGCCAGGCTTTTCGTTAGCTGTATGGGAGCTGGGGAGCTTCTTCTTGGACACTTTATTTTGCTTCACAAAACATCATGTCTTATTTAGACATGTAACCAAGCTTTACCTTGTTTTGCATGACTAAACATCACATACATTACTGATGTGTTTTAAGGTATGTGAGATGGGCTTTATATCAGTATATTTGGGCCTATTTAAACAAAGTCAAGAATTTATTTTGACTCAAAGATACAAATTTCTTGCTTTAAAACGCTAATATACACTGGTATCATGCTTGGGCCTGTGAATGAGGCTGTAATGTGATTGGGTTAACACTCAAGTAATATGTGATGGAAATTAAGTGAGTGACTTAACACCACAGAGTAACAATTTATTTTAAGCTTATTATGGAACATAAACCTGTAGCCAGAGATCTCAAGTGACCTTTCTTCAATTGAAGGCTAATATATTTCTTCACTGACAAGACTGTAATTATACAGTGTCCCTCTGCTCACATAAGTTTGCTGTCCCTGTATTAAAGCTACAGAGACACAAACATTCAGAGAACTCCCTGTCACAGTTGATTTCTTTGTTTTTATCTAGTTAAAACATGCAAGCTTGCACAATGCTAATCACACAGCTGCTAGATAATATAAACCAATAAAAAGGAGCAAAAATCAAGGTACTTTTATGCTCAGTGTGATTATTACTTATATGGCACCTCCAAGTGGATGAAGTGCAGATGTTAGACAGGAGAGATGTAACTAGCTGCCAGGTACTGCCAGTCTTAGAAAGAGAGGTGTTGATGTTAGTGACTCAAGTGCCCAGTTGTTTGTATGCTAGCCATTATATTTATCATGCTCAGTTTACTCGAGGGGAAACTGGACATTCATCAGCACTTTGTTTATCCATCCAAGAGCAAAATGAGGACAAACAGGAAATTACAGAGTGAAGGAAACTGGTTTTGACCGACCTACACAAGGGAAACATTTATTCACAGAGAGAGTATGCAGAATATGTGATTTCCACATGCATGGTGCAAATTAGTGCAATAGTGCTTTGTCTGCTTGAAACGCTTTTCTTGTTAAGACCTTGGATTTAATAGCATCATTTGGAGTATACCTGCTATGTTTACTCCAGCCAGGCATCTTTTGTTGCAAATATGGCCTTACCTTTTACAAGCCGTACGCCCTGTTAATGATCACAAACATCACGGTCATATGTTGTTCTTTTTTCATGTATTGTAAAATGTATAGCTGAAATGTTTAACGTCTTTGTTTCATGCATATCAGACATGCGGTATGTGGTCTTATTGTTACCAGCTGTTTCTTTTGTTTTAGTTTAGCTATTCAAGAGTTTCAAGGGAAGTTTCACTGTAATAATACAACTGCACCTTTGTTCACAGTGAATTTTGTTTCACTTAGGCCATGGCCTTAAATCCAAATGCCCTTCGAGGGGTCACTAGTAAAGTGCACCCAGACAGTCTTAAAGCGCAGTCTTTTATCTTGAATGTGTTGACTAGCAGTCAAGACAGTAATTCACAAGGAAATCTCAGCTTTTCCCTCATGTGTACAATTTTTAAACATAATTCTTTGAAGTGGCATGTCCATTTCAATATTTATGCTCTAGTTTAATTTTTAAAAGGTGCCAAGTAAGAGCAAAAACATGTTTTTCATTACACTCTACAGATATTGACTGTTGACCTGTTGGATGCCAAAAAATGACTGCAAATAGTCAAGTAATTGAGATACTATCATATTACACATAATGTATACCTGGAGGGAAGTAACATGGTTCAATGTAGTGGTGCAGTGCAGTCCAGTGCAGTGCTGCTGACACTAAAGATCCCCCTCCTGCAGTGCACCAGAGTGTCAAAATAGTCCCTTCAAAACAGAGCACATCAGCTATTGTTTCAAGTGTGTTTTTCATCCTTATGTATTTAAGGAATTTAAGTTCCGATATATTTTTAGCCCTAAATTCACCCTGGTTGGAACAGGTGGACTCAATTACTCTTCAAGAGTTTCATAGAAATCTATCTCAGGGCGTCACTGGGAGATTATTCACACCCCATCAGAATAGTTGGATTTATTAAAAGTTTCCATTTACTGTACATGTTGATATATTCATACATCAGGCCTTTTTCCATTTCAGCTTTACCATTGTCAGTCTACATCAGCATTATGACACATCACTCAAATGTTTGAGTTGCATTTTTTACTACTAACGTTTGCCTTTATATCCACAAATATTTTGTCCAGGAATCACATCAGTAGTTTTGTCTGACCTCCAGAGCCATGACTACAGACACGTACAGTCCCTCACAGTCACTTCCCTCTGAGTCACGAGTTGAGCATGTTTAACCTGCGGCCCCACTCCCTTTCCTGCACGTCAGTGTCAGTTAATTAGTGTGAAGGTCTGAGATGAGGTCAGTCAGCCATTCGCAGAGCACCCGAAAGAGGAAGTTTTAGTGACTAATAAAATTCCCCTTAGTTACTAGAAATCTCTAGCACTTTGATTAGTATCATGTCTCATTTGTCCACACTAACTAGCCTCAATCAATACATTTAAAAGCTTTTTTTCCATTGTGTGCCAAAATAGTTTTTCTTTCCACTTCCATGTTCTCTCTTTTGAATTTATGTTGAAGTGTGAAATATCAAAAACGTGCTTGTTTGTGTGTTATGTATGCCTTACACAGTGTAGTCTGTGTTAAGCAGCATGACTGATCAGTTTATTCTCACAGAGAATTAACAGAAATCCACAGAGGGTTTGACATTGAGTTGCTGATTTCTTTTTGGATGCAGCGCCTGTCCTCAAAAACAAGACAAGATTTTACAACTGAACAGAAACAACTTGACAATCTAGCATACTGTAAATGGAGGTGAGCTCACCTTCCAGTGTGGGCATTGTGTGTAACAGTACACATCATCATCTGTTAATATTCCTGGAGCGTGTACATTTTTGGACGGTTACAAACCATTTCACTTGAGCAAAAAAAAAATTGCATTATTCAAAAAACTGCCATGATTGCATTGTATTGACATCTAATCTCTACCTATGTATAAATGGTTGTTTTTTAAATCCATGATTGTATTTACTATTTACGATAAATCCATCTGTATTCTGATGCCTGTAGATCAGGGATATATGAAAACAGTATGTTGGTTTCCTTTTTCTTGTTTCACATCCATTTCATTTCACAGCATGAGTTTGTTGATTCTGATGCTGAACTTGTGTGCAGTATAGCCATACTGAAAGCCAACCACTTAACCCCTAGCAACAGTCATTGCTGTAAATAAGCCTGAAGCCTGAAAGCTGGATGGACAGATTTGTTTTGATCAGCACTGTCTGTATCGCACGTGAAAAGGCCTTTATTAATTAATTGTTGCCAAGTGGATTGAACACTGGCTTTTTAAGCGGGACGTCTGTATCAATGAACAACTGAACTTTTGATTTCCTAATGTTCAGACCCTACTTTTGTACCATTCTGACACATGATAATAAAATAAACACTAAACACTAAATCCTGTTGCAAAAAATATGTTAATTCCCACTTTGCTGGATGTTTTTTCTTCCAGGAGAAAGCCCTGAGCACTGTTATGGGTTTTGATGAGAAGCAGTTTTTAAACATTAAACTTTTGACCTTTTGGCTAATTTTGGCAGGAAAAACACAGGTCTAATTAATATCATTTACAATGGCACATCTGTATTAGTTGTCCCAGTAAGTCACTGCGTGCACTAAGCTAGCATGAACAACACCAGGACTCTGGAGCTGGCTCACCTCCATAAACAATCCAGTTGTGTTTATGTTACTAATTACAAATGTGCATTACCTGCTGTGTCACATCAAGAGCTTAAACATTATTTCTTCTTACGGTAGCATTTTGAAGTTTAACTAACTGACTTTTACACCTCAGCCTACCTTGTGGACTTGAATAATGATGCACCATTGAAAGCCACTGCAGCTGAGAGCTGTAGGTTCCCAGCTGGGATGTTCACAATATACGGCTGGCTTTTCCACTGGGATCTATGAAGGCAGTGGTGGCATATCTAAGGGACAAGAGCAAATGCTTTTGTACTGATAAAAGCTACACTGAGCAATAATTCAGTATGAATGTCAGTGATAAGACATGATTTAATTACCTGGATGACTGACAGGAAAGTTCCAACAACATACGTCTCCAGTGTGCGTGTGCAGGTAGGGCATGCTCTGAGCAACTGAAGCAAGTTGTCCTCAAAAACCATATGCTTCTTTGCACTGTACAGTGGAGTACTGGATATTTAAAGAACAAATTAAAAAAAGAAATGACAGATATATTCTTGATTTTCCAAACAAGCAAAAAGGGAGGGGGAAGCTCAGACAACAACACATTAGACATATTACCTGCAAAGATTCTGGGTAGCGGAGACGTATGGGTGACATCTGGCTCGTGGACGTGCATGATGAAGCAGTCTTTGTAAAGGGACGCACTTGGATTGCTAATTCACACGAAAATAGGAAACGTAGACCGTATTCACCAATGTGCATGTCATAACAAAACCAATACAAATCAGTTGAAGTAAACATAATGCAGGTAAAAATTACTCTCCATGTTAGAAGACGACTTTGTCGTTTTGTCACACGTATCTACTGTTACAAAAATGTTAAAACACCTGGTTGGTAGCAAACGTTAACTTTACTTGATGATACCTTTACTCCTTCTTTGTATATCGTGGCTTCACTTGGACACTGGCGCTTTTTTGAGCTACCTCACACTGACAACCAACATCTCTGGTAGCTGTTTAAAAGATATGTAAAGGGCAAATGATTCTATATTTAATAACCAATTCCCTTACATTAGATAATTAACCTAGCAGTGGAAATTATAATACTGGCTTTTACAGGAGGAGACACGCCAACAGTGTACAATGAAGGGACCACGTTTTCTGACAGCTTCAGGTAGCTAGCCACTCCGGCAGTGTACATTGCCAAATTGATGACGGAGTCCTGTGAAAAATGCAGGTCACATATCCTCGAGTTCGCGCAGACACCTCTTTCTTCAAAATGTGTAAACTCCAGCCATTTTTTTTTCTTAACCACGGGTCAAGAAAAAGGGAAAAAAGATTGCGGGAGTCGACGCAAACAAAAACACAGCGTCGGCAAACATTCGCTAGCTAGCCCTTCCTGCACGGCGCTCGTGACGGTGACGTCAAACTTTTTAGACCGTTTTACTGGAAGAAAAAATACATGGATTTAAATGTAAAAATACTCAGATAATTATTTTTTGACATATATTCGGCATGTATCAAGAGCTAAAGTTCCGTTGTGATATCTTTTAATTAATTTTTTTTATCCTACTCACCTGCAGTGCCTTGGCTAATGTATACAAATCTGCGCATTTTAATTGGTTAACGACTCATTTGCATATAAACGTCGTGATGGTGATAACGTTATTAGATAATTCACCTGTAGTGTCTCCCCTTAAGTACAGTACATTAGCCTGTATTCCTACCATGATAAATCATGATTATATAAAACATTTATTTTCTTTAGTAGGACTGAAAGAGCCTTGGCTATATTTTATTACGTCAGCTAAGTAGCTAATGGATGGTTTTAGGATGAAATTCTGGGCCCTCCACCGTATATTGTACTCTAGTCTTCATGTACAAAGTATTAGAGAGTTTAGCTGATACTTTCTATGGGGTTTGACAAATTCAAGTGAACAGTAAATTTACATTCTTTTTAATAAAAAAGATTTTAAAAGATTTATAAAAAAAAAGAAAAAAAAGATGTTATTAATGCCACAATCTTCTTAAGAAAAAATCATACCTGACAGTAGACATTATCTTGTGTTTCCTAACTTCCTGTCCTGTTAATCATCATGTGATTTTTAGTTATCTTGCAACCTATGCTTGCAACCAGTGGTGCAAGTACTGCACTTACATTTTTGGGCTACTTAAATTTTATACTAGTCTCTACTGGATACACCCTATACACTACACAAATAGAAATATTCAAGTAAAGTACAAGTGCCTCGTGTATTTACTTACATGCCACCATGCATTCTGGCTTATACAACTACTCAGACCGATCACAAGATGGCGCTGTAAGTCATTGTGTTTATTTCCATGTCACAGCAACGACATGAGCGACATCTAGAGGTCATTCTAAGGCACCACCATGAACTGCAAATGTAGCTCAATGTTTTGCAACGAAAGAGTTAAAGTCCAAAATCCTATTACGGTCTCCGTGCAGTTACACTTTAATCGATTCAGACAGGTCACGTAGTCTTTACGTGGATGGGATGCACATAAAGTAACCCGCGAGCTGTATCTTTCCGAGCTAACCGCCATGGATTTTATGACAGATCGTGATGTGCAAACGGTGAGCGTTACATTAATTTACAAACAAAACCACAGTGAGCTGTAGCAAGCCAGTATCCTGCACTACAGGCTTTAACTTTAATTGCAAATGCTAAGTGAAATATTGTTAATGCAAATAGTCAAACAAAGTCTGTAATGCTCTAATAACTATGTATAGTCTTACTCTTTTTATCGTCGTGTCACATTTCTGCAATGCTTTATTCATTGTGTACATTCATACAAGTGTTTGTGCTCATTTCTGGCCCATTACGTAACATCAACAGCAGTCACAAGTAGCCAATGAGGGGGATTTATTCTGCTGCGTAAAGCATGACATCTGCATTAAGGGCACATGTCTCGTTTGGAGTTGATAAATTTTAGACTCTATATTTTTCTGTGCTGAATGCTGAGAAACCGTCCCCTAAGTTGACAAAAATTGAGAAAAACAGAGTATCTTTGTATAGAAAAGTTGGAAACAGACATGAAAAAGGAATAGTTGTTTCTTCAGCCTTTTAAATCAGTGAAACTGACTTCCTTCCCCCCTGATAGTATGTGGATGATGGATATGTGGTTCTGGACGGGCTGCTGACCTCTCAGGAGTGTGATGAACTGAGGCAGAGGATGACAGAGATTGTGGACCAGATGGATGTCCCAGAGCACTGCCGCACCACCTTCTCCACTTATCATGACGAGCAGCTCAAAACACAGGTGACCTAATGAACTGCACTGCAGGGGATAAATCTTTAACAGTGTCCACAGATTATTCAACAATATTTCTTTCACATGCTTGCCGTCGCATTGCGCTTAAAGATGCAGGTAATGTTACCATTTATGTTCTGTAGATGCAGAAAGTCTCACGATGTCTGTAGTGTGGATACTGTCATGGAAAAATCTCTCTTGATTTATCTACCTTATCAAAGAAAAGAAGTCTTAGCCTAACAGGTGAAAGTGCTTTATGTACATACAGAGAAACAGTTTAAACACAAGTTCTCAAGTCAAATGTGCAAAGTGCTCTGAATAATATAGGGAAGGTCTCCTCTATTATGTCATTGGTCAGTGCCTTTTGGCAAAGTTGTAAATCACCAAAACAAACAGTTATCCAATAGGCCAAGTCTAATTTTTTCCACTGGAACAATCATAACATTTCCCAAACACTGTGTTGTACAAACCCTAACCCTTCTTGGTTGCTCAGACGACAGAAATATGTTGCTCTTAATTTCAACACCAAATCATGCAATAAACTCCAAACAAGAGCAAAACACACCCATTCCATCAGAATATCATATTTCCCTCACAATTCATTAGCTCTCCACTGATTTACCTCAACCCTAAGTGTCCTTCAGCTCAGGCTAATAGAAAACTCCTATGTCAACAGTCTAGTCAGTGTCTGTGGAGTGTGGCCTCTGTAATGTAATCATACCCTGGCGGATCAGGTGACCGATGTAAACCTTTTGACCTGCAGGGAAATGCTGACTATTTCATCACCAGTGGAGATAAGATTCGCTTTTTCTTTGAGAAAGGAGTTTTCGACGACAAAGGTAAGATCCAATAAACAGATTTCTTGTCTGTCCATTCTTTTTTTGTATGGCAAAATGCCAAATGAGATTGGTAAAGTATTTCTTGGCTTGCAGCTGAATTCATCGTACCAAAACAGCGGTCACTGAATAAAGTCGGTCATGGTAAGATTTATAATTGAATTCTCCTAACAACATGTGCACAGGGCTTTCCAAAAGAACCTAGCTAATCCCAGTTTTCTTCATTTAGCACTACATGCCTATGAACCGTTGTACAAAAAGGTTACACATTCACCCAAAGTTCAGGTGAGTGAGCTGTTGAACTATATCTCTCTCTATATATATATGTTAAGTCACACAATAACCAACACTCGTATCAAATGTTGTTCTCTTAGGGCATAGCTAAGAAGCTGGGTCTTGCAAATCCTGTGATACTGCAAAGCATGTACATTTTTAAGGTAAAGTATTATATGTCTAATCTGTATAGTCTTAGATTATGCTGCATTGGTAGTTTAGGTTGAACTATAATTTTGCATTCTCCATTATTTCCAGCAACCAGGAATTGGTGGGGAAGGTAAGAAAATGAAGAAGAAATACATAACTTTTACTTTATTTTCTAGTTATATACCATTGTATTTACATTCAAACTTGACCCAGTGCTTATTTCATGAGAAGATGTCATCAACATCAATGTGATGAATGCAAAAACATGCTTTACATAAATATCCTTATATTATGAATATGTAGCAGAGTCTTGTCTTTTTCTCAGTGACACCACATCAAGACGCCACATTTCTGTACACCGAGCCCCTGGGCAGAGTGATGGGGATGTGGATCGCCCTGGAAGATGCCACCGTCAACAACGGCTGCCTGTGGTTTATCCCAGGGTCACACAACAGTAAGCTGTCAATATACTGTAACTAATCTTGCTTTGTGGCTTCTAAAGTACCGACTCTACTCAGTTTGAAACACTCGGAACAATCCTGCAGCCGCTATGTGTCTCTCCATAATCCAGTACGATTTAGTATTTGAAATCGGTTTTTGTATGTATGTTTTTTTTGCTGCGGTACATCCCTCTCCCTCTTCCCCTCTCAGGTTGTATTTCTCGGCGTATGGTGCGCACCCCCAAAGGCACCTATCCTCTGACAGACTTCATTGGAAAAGAGCAGGCCTATGATGAAGAGAAGTTTATCGCTGCACCAGTTAAAAAAGGTAATTCACTTGTTTTTAAATTTAAGTTAGAAAATGACAAAAATGAAATGAAAACATCTAGTGGTGTTGAGACGCACACACGTTTATTATGTATTCAGGAAGTTTGTGCCAATTTTGGCAAAGTATCTAAATAATATGCTTAATGCGCATTGAATAGTTTGCACAGATTAAAGGAATAGTTTGACATTTTGTGAACTGCTTTCTTGCCGAGAGTGTGGATCTGTTTCTTGGCCAGGCACAGTGACAGGTAGGAATCACTGCGCTGAGCCAACAAATAGTTTTGCTCTCAATCTTCTCATGTATCACCCAGCAAGAAAGCAAATAAGTATATTTCCTGCAATGTCAAACTATTCCTTTAATGAATCAACAGACAATTCATCTGCAAAAACTTTTCTGATCAATTATATTAATTTAAATGATTTACCGAGTATTTTTAGATTGTGGATAACTGGTCTGAGTCTGTGTTCAGGTGGCGTAGTCCTGATCCACGGGCAGGTGGTGCATCGCAGCGCTGAAAACAACTCCGAAGACTCTCGCCACGTCTACACCTTCCACATCATGGAATCCCAGGACACCTGCTGGAGCCCTGACAACTGGTGAGAGTGTATTAGAGTTGGTGTGGATTTCTGTTGTTTCTTTTAGTTCAGTTTTTTTTTTTTTTACTGTTTCCAACAGAGGGTTGTCACAATCAGCACACAGGGGAAAGAATGAAATGAAGTTCTGAGACATCGAAGTAACACTGTATAATTTTTGAAAAAAGAAATAAAAGTCTTCCTTTTACATCTGACTGTTATTTGAAAACAAACCTTAAAAGTGATGAAACTATTCTTTAATCCATCTATGATGTTTCCATCTCTTTGGTTCTTAAAGGTTGCAGCCCACTGAAGAGCTCCCTTTCCCACTTCTCTACACCAAATGAAGGATATCTTTGGGATTTGGCTGCATTAAAAACAGAAGATCCTCTATTTTTACTGAAGAAGCACCAATATGCATGAACTGTTTTTAACCACAGCAAGTTGCTGCAATTTCTAATGGCGTGTTTTTTATCTTACATGACACCATCTGTTTCTCTGAGCTACATGTATACCAGCATGTGACCCGATCCAGAATCACTTCAACTGTGAAAAGTCAAAAGTGGATTAATGGCTACTAACTCATTTTTTCAGAGTGTATCAATGTTTTAAATGAGAAATTAATTTGAAGAAACACTTAACTTTTTGAACAACTTAGATCTACTTTTTTTATTCAGAGTCTCCTCATCAACATTTTCACCAACCAGCTTTTTCTTGTTCAGGGTCATTTTGTCAAAATGAGATGGCAGATTCCTATTTTTGCAGACAAAACATTAAGCATCTCTATTGTCAAGTATGTTGATTTTAAGATGCAACTTAAATAAAAAACAACTCAACTTTATGTATGAATGATCATAAACCACAACATCTAAACTTCTTGTGTTAGTTTTCTAATCAAACTGAGAAAGCAAAGGGTTAATGTTGATGGTGTGGAAGGGCAATCACTCAGTCAGCCACACAGGTTCCTCTTCTCAATCCTCAAATGAGTGTTGAACAAATGGACTAAAAACTGGAGGCATAATCAATTTTATCTTTCTCCTCGGATGCACTCAACATGCAATATTACATTTTGAAAAATGTAAGGATGATGGCAAAAACAACATACATAGTCGGATCATGCTAATAAACTGTCATCACAACATAAAAAACACCAAAGAACTTTTACAGATGAACATGAACCCAAGTTAAACAAGTTTCAGGTGATGAACTGTAGCATCCTCATCTCAGAGTGATGAGATCAAACCTGATGACATCTGAGGATATTTCTATAAAGCAAATATCACATAATCATTTGGATTCATTAATGCTAAAAAAAGTAGCTAAAAAGGAAGGGCCTGTGTTGATCAGTTTGGCCCAAAGCATATCTACAGAGTCCAAAAATATGCAGTGTATGAAGGCTCAGTATCACAAGGAAATGTATGTATATATTAAGTTTATCTCTAAGGGGGTCCCATCAAACCACAGAAAGATTAAGCAAAGTAAATTTACCAAACAAAAATACACTGTAGTATACCTGTGTACATGTTACAGTACTGATTTCACATTTGTGTCATGCGGGAGCATAGTGAGTTTCTGCCATATCGAAGTATAAACCAGCCCTTATAAGGAAGAGTTGAGAGGGGCTGCCATGCTTTAATCTATAGCATCTACAATAGTAGGTTATGTGTGATAGAAAATATACTTCTTAAGGCAAATGTTTTCAGCAGTAAGTCCTCATATTGCCATCAGGGAGGCAAAACAATATTTTAATAAAGAAAAAAAGTCGATTAAGAAAAAGATATATCAACAAGCTAACTTTAAATAATGTTCTTCAAAGGCAATACAAAGGCGTGTATCCATCTGCAAGAAAGGGACAAGATAGGAAAGCCTCCTCTTTGATGATCAAAATGTGCCTTTTAGCAGCGTCTGCAATGTCCAGAATTCAATACATGTTTAAAAAGGACATTTTTCCAATTTATTAAACTGAATCTTGTCTTGCATAATTCAGGGGTTGTTATTGTTGAGTAGCTCAGGGACGTGATGGTGACATGCCAAGAAACCATACACCTCTGCTGTCACTTAGCCCAAAGAATATTTAGCAACTCTTCCTCACATTTCTTCCTAACTTGTTCTGAAATGATCGTCTCACTCCTCAAAGCAACTGATACTGAAATGACTCTTGATCTGAAGACAGCAGACTTACATGTCATGCTAACATCATGTCTGCTGCCAAATACAGTGAGGACTAGTGCCACATTGGTTTGCTAACGTAAGAATTACCCAGCTTTTTACCATTTCTTTCTTGTGCTAGTAAAAACGACTCCCGTTTTTGAGTCCACTGATATCAAAGGGACTTATTACTTACATTGTCACATTTTTTGTATTTCTTATACATTTCTTTTTCAAATTCAACATTCTTGCTTCCCCCAGAAAGGGTTGAGGACGGGGGAGGGAGCTGTTTTTGTTTGGGCCATCTGTCCATTCAAAGCAACAGCAGGATGAAGAGGTAGAGAGGGAGAAAGAGGTTGTCTATTTGGGAGGTGTAGGCCTCCAACATGGCCACCAGGGTGATGGAGCCAACAATCCACGAGTAGGTGGAGTTCAGATTGATGCTCCCATCAAAGATGAGAAACATGGCCACAGCTATGATCTGAGCAAACACAGATGTTGCAGTCCCCTCCATGGTTTTCTTGGTGCCAGGCCAACGGATCTCCCCCATGGTGCTGCCAAACACAGACGCAACAGTGTCTCCAACCCCCACAGCCAGCACACCTGCATAAGGCACCAGGCCACCCGCACCTGGAAGTATGCCCTTAGGGGCGCAAGGCCCAGGGAATAGCCATATGGGCAGAGACATGCCCAGCAGCAGGTAGATGTGGGTCAGGATGAGAGGCCCAGAGTCCCGTTCATCCAGGAACAGGGTGAGCAGCTGCCTGAGCAGCTGACCCAGCGGCCTGATCCGAAAGTAACGCACGTACTCCAGGAACAAGAACACTGCCAAGCAACCCACAGATGCCACATGAAGCAGCTGTCTATCATATATCAGCCCTGGGACATATGTGGCCACTACAATCAGATGGAAGTACTTCCTGACAATAGTCGAGGCCTGGTGCTTCTTGGACCCTGACTGGCGCTGGTAGTTCTGGTGTAACACAACACAGGTGGCCACAACAGCCAGAAACACCCAGTATCCCAACAGACAGAGTCTTCTATCATTTAACGTGAGAAAGTCCAGCAACCACATGATGGGGTGCCGGCCGATGAACAGGGAGAGCCACGGCATGAGGATTCCCAGACCCAGAACGGCTGTCATCATGTGAAAGAAGAGCGATGACACCCAGGTCTCTGACTCCATGAAACAGAAAAGCAGTGCGAAGAAAACGCCCAGCAACAGTGAGCCCACCACTACCACCGGCAGGAAATAGTTCACTGGATCCCCTTTGACCTCTGCCAGGTTCAGGGAGCGCTTGATGAGCTGGTTGACGATGAAACTGATTCCACCGACGATGAGGAGCGCCTCTCCAGGTGTGAAGCAGCGTGGCAGCAGATAAAGTACAATCAGGCTGAGATAGACGAAGATCAAAAGTACCTCTAAAACCTCGATGACCTCAGACACCGTCAGTGTCTGTTTTGTTGTGTAGAGAATTGCACTGCCGGCCATGCCTGCAATCACACAAGTGTTTGTAGGCACGGGTCTTGTGATGCCGAGCGCAATAAGAGAGAGAAACAGAGCCAGCATCATGCCTGTTATGGTGATAACCATGGAGAAGCGCTCAAAGTAGACATTCCCTGAGGCAGAGCACTTCTCTCTCAGTGCCAGACCAAGCAAGGGCATCACCATGGAGGCCGGGACAATGCCACTATTTGCTGCAGGACGAAACTGGAACACAGCACCCCCTGACCTGAGCAGACGGTCCCATTTGTGCTGTACGTAGAAAGCCTGGATGACGAGGGCTATGCTGCACCAGGAGTGCTGGTTCCAGACTGCCATGTGGACACACAGCACCACAGCCAAAACTACAGTGGACTCCACGTGCACTGGGTTGATCTGCATGGCTGCAGGTGGAGGGCTTGCAGGGAGGGGAGGTTGATCTGAACAGATGGTCTGCAACAATGAAGGCCTTCTTCTGTCAGTTCCTCTCTCTGGCACACTTCATCATTTGGCAGGCACTTTTCACTTGCTGAGGATGTCTAGAGAAAATACAAAAAAATGAAATCAGTCAGGTTTTGATTCCAGAGAAAAATGTCAGTCAGCATAAAACAGAATCATTTAATTATTTATACACAATTCTCAAAGTCTAAATTACAGAATCAAGTTGTGGGACAGGATGTACTGTATTTAAGTCCATGAGTCAGCTTAGCTCATCCCAGCAGTGAACATTGGTCATGCTTTATCTGCTTTCTGTTATGAACTATGGCCACACTGAACATTCACCCAGCCAGTGTGAAATCCACACACACACAAACACACACACACACACACACACACACACACACACACACACACACACTCTCTCTGACCACATGAAGGAGACTCCAGGAGAAATGCACATCAGCTGCAGCCTTTTGTTCCCTATGGGGGGGTTGGAGGGTTGGAGGGTTGCACCGACTTTCTGCTGGGCTGAATCAGCTGAGTTTAACACATGGCCGACACATCTCACCGATACGGTGAAAAGAGAAGAAAATTTCTCCGGTCGTTTGTTACATCCATTGTGCTGTTACAGTCCAATGGGGCCGCACTCAGGTGAGAATCTAGTCCCTCTGCACACCAGGGATGCTGCAACCTCGGACAGCATCAAGCTAACGGCGAAACACAGCTGAGTCTACGGCTCGAGCTTCACGCCCCAGAGAACAAAATGTAAATAAAACCCAGGCTGACAAAGACACACGTACTTACCACATAAGAGCGGTGTTATCTAGACGAAAGTATACGGCGATATGACAGATTTCTTCCCTTGTCAGCTGTCGCTCCTCTCACACCCAGTAGGACGGGGCCATATTTGACAGCCGGGTCACGTGGTATGAAAGTAAAAAATACATCTTAAAAGCATGATTTATTTATTTATGTATTTATTATTAATATTATTATTGTTATTATTTACGTTGTATACATTTTCATGGTATTATGTCGTTAAGAAAGCATATACTGACGATCTACCTTTTTTTTTATTTTTTTTATTTAGCTACACCCTTATCATTTGTATTATAGCTAGTTCTGTATAAAAACATGAATCAACGACATTATCATACACAAAAGTAAAGATTACACTGGATTATAGGCTTAGGGGAAACGGCAGACGCTGATTCTTTATATTTTTTGGGAAGAATTTATGAATGTATAATCATATAACCCCAGAGGATGGCGGTAAAGTAGAAAATAAGGGTGCTAGCTGCCCCAAGAAGAAGAAGGTTCCCACGACAGCAGTGACGACATATCACAACAACCAATCACATGGCAGGAACGAAGATGGCGGAATCGGAGATGAGTGTCAGGTAGGCAGATAGCAACAAATTTTAACTAACGTATACTTTGTCTAAGTGGTTATTTTCAAAGTATTTGCCAGAGAGTGCAAATGTCTACGCAACGTGTGTTTTTATCAAGTCCTACCAGAAGTCATATTTATATTCGAAAGTGTATCTTTTGAGCTGTTAGCACCACGCTATCTTAGCTTAGCATGTGCTTTCAGTTAAACATTTGAATGGCTTTTCAGCAGCGCGGTGTGTCAGCCGCATGTCAACAACAGCATGTCACCACTATGGTCATAAACTAACTTTGGTTAATTAATTGGACGAAGAGACAGCGCTGAAATTTGTGGTTAAGAAGCCTCCCAATTAGCTTCTATAGCTGACATTGATTAGTTGTGACAAAGGAGAGGCTTACGCTACTGTTTACCAAGGAGAAGTCAATGACTTACAATCTATGAATGCACAGCAACTCAAAAGATGCAGTCTTATTAATGGCTTCACCATATGTGTCTGTATATTATTTAATTATTTCCCATTAGCGTTGAAGTTGCAGTGACATTCTCTGTATCAGTGTATACAAAACCCACCTCTGCCAACATGTTATCAGAGCAAAAATCTGAACTGCTCACAGCTGGTACATGAAGCTGCCTGGATGTGTGTGTAATTTTACGTCCCGATATTGATGCATCTAAATTTTTTGAATAAACAAGAAACTGTTAGTTAGCACGCATATAGGTTTGTTATTGGCTTATTTAGTTAAATCCTTTACCAGGGACGTTAAAATAATAGCTATCACAGTATAAACAGTAGTGAAAAATCTGTGACATTTGTCAGTTATATTGTTTCAGATAGTCTGAAATTATTAGTCATTTTAACCAAAATAATTCGCAACTATTTAAAAACTGATAATTTCAGTCATTTTTTCAAGCAAAAATAGTGAAACAATGACTGACATCTGCAACCTGCCTCTTCAATGAGAAGATCTCTTGCTCTTCTTTATTGATATCACTGAAAATGTGATATTT